ATATAAATAATTTCGTGGCCCATTGTTGACTTTGTTTTGGATCATCAATTCCTTCACAATCCAATACAATTATCCTTTTTCCTTTGTGAAAAAATGGTTCATTCCACATATAAATTCCTCGTGTACATCCTTCGGTCTTTGAACCTAACTCAAATCCGTCACATCTACCGTGTAGCACATTCGCGAACCACGATTTCCCTTTACGATACGATCCAACTAGCAAAGATCACGTGATTTATACGTTGGTTAAATAATATTTTGGTGTGACGTATAATAAATAATATCAGACTTACCAACAGCAATGACAGAGACTGGTTCATCAATTTTTCTAACTATATCTAAAGCCTCTTCACATAATATAATTTCTCCATGTTTATCAGAATCCTCTACGTATTTTAAAAGTTGAATTGGTTTTCCTTCACGAAATTGAATTCCCTCCCCAAATATATTGCCCATATTGCAAATTTAAAAGAGCAAAATTTGTAAGTGGTTTTATATAATGATAAGCCTTTTTTTAAAGAAGTTGTGATCATCGAATAATTATCCATATAAGGATCTGATATTGAGCGGCATGGCGTGCATCCAGTTGCATATTTATTTTTTTATCAGCTATCGGAAACAAGAGATAATGAGCCGATAATAACATCTGATTTGATTATCGGAAAAATAGCGGAAGTTTCAAGTTAAACGAACAAAGTGCTTCTATTTTATTTTATTAAAAGCGAATGATTTAGTATCTGAAATATATTTATATAAATTTATTAAATGTTCAATTAATATGAATTAAAAAAAAAGTTATGCAGTATCACGTGTTCTTAGTGCTGCGGAAAAAAAAATAAAAAAGTTAAATAAAAAATTTTCCACGTTATTTTATTAATTATAATTAACGTAATTATTATCTTCTTCTTTATATTTCTTTTGTTTATTTTATTCGTTATAATATTATGTTATCTCTATAGAGAAGTTAGATTAGAATTTTTGTACGACTTGGTTGTCGACAGAGTTTTTCAGATATAGTTTCTGTATAACTCTATAGTTTAATAATAAAATTCTTATTAATACTTTCAAACTTCATCAAAAGTTTTGATCGTGATACTTAACTACACAAGTGAATTGTATTAAGAATTTGTCGTATAAATCTCCGTGGACGGACCTTAGTTAGATTTATTGTGGACTTGGTTTCGGTTCGATTCCATGTTAACAACGTTATTATATATGAATTTGAGGGTTTTTTTAGTTTTTTTCTGTACGATTTTTGTATTTATCAAATTTAATTACAAATCTTAATAATAATAATAATAATAATAACAATAATAATTTTCTCATAATGTAATTTCTTTCACTATTATTAATTGGTTTTTGTAAATGTTTGATGAAATGTTTCATATTAAAACTTGGAAAGGAAATTTGTAACCAATTTGTTAATCCAATAAATTCCAAGACCAAGCTAAAACATAAAAGAAAAAAAGAAAAACAAACATTAATATCTCTTAAAATAAAGAGAAAACCCACTAAGAAATACTTAGACCTAAAAGAACGAAATAAAATGAAATAAACATTTAAGTAACGTCGGTTAATGATTCATTTTAAGCAAAGAAATCTACTATTCTAAAATAAATCAAGGTCCAAGATAAAACTAAGAAAACAAAAGGATTGCTTACCAACGTTAGTAATATTATTAGAAAGTAGATTTCTAGTCCAGTCTGAGAATTAAAAAAGAAAAAAGAAACATTTACCTTACGGTTGGGGTTGATTTGCCACCGGCGTGACACTGGTGATGTTTCAAGTTTTATTGTTTTTGAGGGACTTGAATATTTTATGTGGGTTAGGTCTATTTGTCACGCACTCTATGGGAAGTCACAAATAAGCATAATCAGATTATACCAGCCAATCGGAGACTGGGGGCTAAATTAGTAAAATTGAAAAACTGAGTATGTGACACTGGGTGACAAATTATATAGGAGAAAAAAATGGTTACCCAATAAATTTTATATCATTATACTACCCATGTATAGATTTATATTTCACAATCAAATAAATTATTATCTCAAATTGACATTCGTTAGCATTTTTGTAAGACCGGACAAATCGATATTTTGATAATCAATCCAGATTTTCTTAATAATTGATAACGGATTCATGCTTTTATGAAAATTTTAATTATATAACCTACGTATATATTATTTAGTGTTCCAAGAAGCTATGTTGGTAAGTATTGATAATTTCATAATTTTGGCAAATTTTGGCATTAGTTATTTATTATACTTAATAAATAAATAATAATAATATATTTGTTCCATTTAATTCAATAAAAATTTGTCTATCATTAATTTTATAAACCTATAAAAAATCTATCTCATGTTTTTTGATATTTGTGGGAATTTACTAAGATTTAGTTTAATAAAGCAATGTTTTAATAACGAGTTCAAGTCATTACATTAAAACACTTAGTAATTTGTTGTAATATCAAAACAATTACGTCAAAATTTTAAGAATCGCGACTTGCATTGAACTTCATCAAAATTTGGATCGAACGCGAAAATATTAGTTCTTCTACGAAGCAATTTTATTAAACTTTAATAACGATTCTAAATCATAGAATCAAAAATACGAATACATTCTATTTTTTACAAACCAACTAATTACAGCAGAAACTGACAATACGGCATTTCGTCTTTTTGGATTTTTTAGTTTTCTTTTTTAATGATTCTATCTCTGCTTCATTTTCACTTTTAACATTAGCTAAAGCAGATATATGTTCATTTTTAAATTGATCTAATAATCTATTGTAAGCACTATTTTGTTGCTTAACTGTTTCTTCCATTTCTTTAAATTTGTTTGAAAATTCTTGTTCAATTTGTTTACGTTCTTTTTCTAATTTATCGATTTTCTTTTCCATTTCTTTTTCTCGAGCAGTATGTTCTAAAACTTTTTGTTCAGCTTCATGAGTTTTTTTAAGTTGTTTTGTCCATTTATTGTCGAAAGCCTTCAACGAATTTAATTTTATGATCGCTTCTTGATATTCATGAGATTTAAAATTCGCTTTTATCATATCTGTTTCTGGGCAATCTATCATTAAAGTAATTAACATATTTTTCTCAAAAATTTCGATCGCATCATTTAATTCCTCTTTGGTCTATCAATTTTAAAGAAAATTAGATTCAACGTTTAAGAAAGGAAAACATAATAAAGCAAATAAACACAAATTACATTTACCTTAAAGAAATTATTGAAGGAGAGACCAACTTTTACATGATTATCCCATAATTTTTTAGCCAATTTCATATTATACTCATATAAAGTCAAAGAATTTGATTTACGATTTTCTTCAAATTTTTCATTGATTAATTTATTTAATTTGAATTCCGATTTCCTTATATGATCTCCATTTCCAATGATTCTTTTAAAAAATATCTTTTCAACTTGTGCAAAAACTTCCATATGAATTTCATTAAACTCTTTCCAATTAATTACTTTAACTTGTCGTATATCATCA